GGTGATTCATTGTCATTTTCTATTGTTTCATATTCATCCGACATATCTAGACCAGTTGCAGGGTCCTTTCGTTTCCGGCGACGTCTATTTTTTCCATTAGGTTGATTGTCTGCATCAATATCTTTTGGTGTATCGTCAGAATCTGGTGTTTCTGAATCCTGTTCAATGTCATTGTTGTCTGGTGTTTCTAATTCCTGTTCAATTTCATTGTTGTTTGAAGTTTCAGGTAGTTTATCTGTGTTGTCATCATCCACTGGTGATTGATTGTCACCTTCTATTGTTTCATATTCATCAGACACATCAAGACCAGTTTCAGGTTCCTTGCGTTTCCGGCGACGTCTATTTTTTCCATTAGGTTGATTGTCTGCATCATTATCTTTTGGTTTATCGATGGAATCTGGTGTTTCTTGATCCTGTCCAATTTCATTATTATTTCTTGTTTTAAGTAATTTATTGGTGTTGTCATCTTCCACTGGTAATTCATCCTCTTTTTCTTCAACTGCATCATATTCTTCAGGCCCATTAAGAGCAGTTGCAGGGTCTTTGCGTTTCCTAAGGCGTTTAGGATGATTATCATCTGCATTACTATGTTTCTTGGTATCGTTTTTTTTCGAATTAACTATGGGACTTTGTTCAGGTTCCTCATAACTCAGTTCATTTGATCTTGATTCTTCTTCCAAACTTTCTGTCGCTGGAACAATATTCTCATTATGAACACCGTTCAGTTCGGCATGTTCTACACTATTTAAGTTTTCATCCTCATCAAAAACATGTGTTTCTTTTGTTGTATTATCTTGATGTACATTGGCAACACTATCATCAGTAGGCTTTGATTCAATATCTTTATAATTATTTATTGTATCTTCGTCCTCTGATGGTATCTCTTGATTATTATCTCCTTCATCTATTTCATGTTCATCATCAGTATGAACTGATGTTTCTAATTCTGGAATATTATCAAAGTTTTTCCCACTTGACTCATTTATATCGTTTATATTTTCTTCTACTGACGCATCATATTCTTCTGATATTTCTTTACCGTCTTTCGGATCTATATGCTTTCTGCGACGTTTTACTTTGGGTTTATTTAAAGCATTTCCTTTACGAGTTGCTTCATTTGAGTTTACATCAATATTTTTTAAATGTTCAGAGTTATCATTATTTTTATTTTGTGGAATAGAAGAATTATTATAATTTTCTTGAGTTTCCTGTTCGTTGTCTTCATATTCTGTGTTCCCATTTTCATCAGATGTGGTAACATTTTCAGTATTATCGGAATTATTAAGAGTTGTCGAATCATTTGTTTCATTCAACGTTTTTGTTTCATCATCATTATTTAAAATTGATTCATTATCATCATTCACTATTGATGGCTGTATGTCATCGACCGAATCTAGGTTGACATCAGGTTTTAATGGTTCTGTACTGATGTCATCATTTATAGCTTCTTTTACTTTTTCTTTATTTTCATCCTTATTCTTTTTCTCAGCGTCGTTCTCTTTTTCTAATAAAATATTTCTTATGTAACAAGCTTTTGATGTTTTTTCTTTATTAGATATTTTTTGTAAATTATTTGCAGCTAATTTTCCTTCGTAGATTTTATTCATCGCGTATAATGCAGAATTATCCATTTCTTTTGTTTCATGGTTCAAATTATAAGCTAATGCTAACATTTTATAATAAGTAGTCTTTTTCATGCCACCAATTCCATTTTTATGACTAGCATCATCTAAGACTTTTAATATGTATTGATTAGGATCGTATTGTTTACCTAACAAATATTTTATACGTTTAATATTTGGATCATTTTTAAATTTTATTTCTAATCTTTTATTTATTGGTATTACTTTATCACAAATATTTTCTGCTGCATTAACTAAATAATCAGACAGTTTTGTGTTTGTATCAACCATTTTATCATAAAATTGTTGAATAATGTCATTTTCTATCTTTTGTAAATTTTCGTAACTTTTTGTTACTTGTATTGAGTTTTTCGCTGATTTTTTAATATTATCAAAGTCTGGTGTTGTATTTTTCAATAAACTTTCACATTTATTTGATTGTTGACTTATCTGTGGGTAATCTAATTGTATTAATTTTTCCCATGGTAGTATTGGGTTTTTTCCCCTTGTTCTTTTTTTTATTTTTTTTTTATCAGTATTTTTTATTGAATTTTCAGTTGGTGTAATAATTTTTTCGTTGTTAGTAATATCAGGGTTAAATGGTGTTTCTTTGACAGAAGAATCTGATTTTAAATCATTTGTAGAATTTTGGTCATCATTTGAAACTTTGTGTTGAACCATTTCTGTTTTTTCTTCATTTCCCGTGTTAGGGATTATTGGAGTTTTTTCAAACGGATAATTTATTTTATCAGAAATATTATCTGTAAGGTCATCTTTTTCTAAAATTGTAGGTTTCATTATTTTAGTTTCTTTTTTATTTTCTGGCTCAATAGGTAATTGTGTTTCTTTAACTGGAGAAACAACTTTATCTACGGTTTCTCTGTCATTTTTAGATGGTTTTCCAATCTCAGTCTGGGTAGATGGAATATCATTTACTTTTTCATTGCCAATAATTTCTTGTTTAGTTGTTGGCAAATTAGGTTCGATATCGTTTGTAGAAATATTCTCAACAGATTTATCATCTTCATTATCACGAGCATTTTCTTCATTATCATTTATTGGTTTTTTAGTAGTTTTTTTTTGTTCTTCGCTATAAGTTAATTCCCCAGAGTCAAGACTCCATTCATCTTCAAACTTTAATTTTAATGCTTTAGCTAATTCAACTGCATTTTTAAGTTTATTTATATCATCTCCCATTTTTATTTCATTCAGTGCATCTTCTCCAAGAGTCTTCACTTTTTTTTTCACCAATTTGACAGATTTCATTCCTTCAAAGAACGTTGTTAAGGCCTTTATAGCATTATCATTCACAGTTTTCGAATGATTAGATAAAGACTTCCATAGTGAATTAAATTCTTTTTTGGCAATTTTTTTTTTTTCATCATAATTATTTTTTAATTTCTCATGATCAGAAGAAATCTCGAGAACCTTGTTGGCTAATTTATTAAGATCGTAGCGATTTCCAAATGACCGCACAACATGGTTTACTAGTGGTTTTTTATTATCAACAGTTGTTTTTTTAATAATTTCTAATTCTTTATTTACTGGTTCATTATCTAATTCTGTAAATGATACAAGTGATTTGAATGTGTCTCTAAATCGTAAAGCAGTTTTTTGAATTAATTTTCTTACAGTTACAAGATCTGTAGATGAATTTTTAATTTGAGATTTTATATCTCTTACTAAATTTACTATATCTTCCGTTGTCTTGTTAGGTTCAGGCATTTGTTTGTTAACAACAGCTTTTGAATTTTCTAATTTTTCGTTGAAGTTATCAATAGAAGTTTTACACAGTTTAGAAATTTTTTTTAAGTCAATTTGATCTGTAGAAATTGACAGTGTTGACCATTCATCCTCTGAAGTTTTGGGATCTAATGCGAGAGATATTACATTCTGAAAGTGTATAAATACGGATATATTAAAAAATGATTCAGTATTTAAAAGCTATCTATAAAATGTTTTCAATTAAAAACCAAAATTTACCAATATAATGTTGGTTCATTGTGAATAAAATTATACAATATATTTTTTATTCTAGATGAAGCTATGAATTTATTAATTTTACAATGATGTTTATTTATTTTGAGCGTGTGTAATTTGTATAGTTTTGTATACTTTAGTTAAACTTTTAGAATATTTAATTTAAAAAATACTACTTATGGAAGGTATTGCATGAACTTAATAAAACGATTTTACGGAAACTACTCGTCTCTACGGAAAAAAAGTTTATCTTAGTTGTTTGTCAGGAGAAAATGGATCTACTAGAATACCAAAGTTAGGTAAATCACCAAAATTCTAACTAGATTATCCGTTAAAGCCATAACTACCACTATCATTGAAAGAAGCTAAATATGAGGGAGATCAGCACTAGAACTCGTTAGATGATTAACAACATCGAAGACACTGGGAGCCATGTTTTATCTTACACCGCTCAATTTTTAAAATACTATAAATTACAAACGACTTATACATTTTTATCTATATTTTATTTAAAAAAATTACGAAGTATGTAAAATAAGCATTTTATTATTGATAAAAAAAGGGTACATATTAATGATTAGTAGAGTTTCTGAGAATTGGATTTAATAGTACCTATACCCGAGCAAAAAAAAAAAATCTGATAGATTTTCAAGTTTAAGTTGAAAAAAAAATCAAGATTCTCATAAATTTGTATTATAATCATTGAATAATGTTTAAGTTGTATAAGAAAATATGTTTTTTTTTTTTTTTTAATTTAAAGTTAAAATTTTGACGAAATTCGATATTTAAAAAAAAGAATAACTATTATAATTATTTTGTTGTAATTCAAAAATATTCTTCGTGAATCAGATGTCTTTAACGTATGTTATTATATTTTAAATACACAATAATATTTCAAAAATGTTTAGATTAATTTTATATAATTGCCTATTTATAGTTTATCTCGTTTTACTAATAAAGTAAAACTTCGCTAGTCCGAATTACATGGGACCAGTAGTTTTCGGATTATTGAAGCCTTAAGGGTTTGACCAAATAAAAAAAAAAAGCAACGTACCTATTACTCGTATTAATTCAAAGATGTTTGTACTTATTTTGAATATATTTTTTATAAATAAAATAGTAAAAAATGTTTTGCGCATATCATGATAAATTATTTTTTCTATCTATATTTATTAATATTTTTATTTAGAACTAATAAATGCATTTTTTTATTATTTATTTTATTGGACGGACACATTGATATTGGTTAGTTTTTATTTTTAATGAATTTTTCAATATCTTTTCCTGTAAGTACTTTTATACTATTTTATTTTCAGATTTTATGTCATTTTTATCAGTCTATTGAAAACTAGTATTAATGGTTATTATATTCGGAACTATACGGAATTTTTGTGTTCTACCTCATTATTACTAACATTTTTTGCGGAACTTCATCATCGGATAAAAGTTTTCTTCTTTGTCTCTATTGATCCGATATATCTTGTTTTGTAAAACGTTCAAATTTATTAAGTTATAACTTGATAATGGTTTCATAAAGATCCGTTTTTAAAAATATCATAATTTTCAGAGACTTTCTTGTATTAACGTGTCAAGTTTTTCGTGCGGAACTAAAAGTGGTAATTTAGATCATTTTTTTTTTTCCATTGTGTAACTAATAACTTTTTGAAAAATTTTCCTTTTTTTTATTAACAATTAATATTGTGTAAAAGTTATTTTTGTAGTGGACATTAAGTATTTGAATTCATTTTTGATCTATCGGTTGTAATAATAGAGTTACATTTGGTGATAAGAACATGGTTTTTATAAAATCATTTTCAGACTTAAAATCAATAGTATGTCTTGGATAATTATCTAATATTAATAATGCTTCTTGTGATTAATTTTGTTGTTTGAAAAACTTCTTCACAGGTGAAACTAACTGTTAATTAAATACATTTATGAAAAGATTTTGTATCATCTAAACCTGAACTTTAGACAAGTAGACAAGTATCTACAATAATCCTTGAGCAGTAAAAAATATCAAAAATCTACCCATTAAAAATGCCATTACAGAAAAATTAGTCAAAAAAATGTTTAAGATTTTTAAATTTGCCTATTTGCTTATAATGTATAAGGAAATTTGTATATTCCACTGACAACTGAATAAGGCATAAATGTAATTTGATCTTGTCACTTAATGATCAGGAACATAGGCTTCTGAAAGATGGACAATTTTTTTTTGTCAAAAGTTTCTAGAACAATCCACTTTCATCGGCTTCGCAGATTTTATCAGAGCTCGTCTACTGTTTTTAAAAAAAAATGTCTACAGGGACGATTTAAATGCATCAAAATTGGAAGAAATTTGTTCGCTAGTATGAGTGGATGAACAAATTACAAATCGCGTTTGAAATGTTTTAATCGATCAAACCAGTCATTATTAGTACAGAAATCCTTTTTTTTCTTTATAAAATAATTATGGTTTTTCTTTTACTAGATCATCAGAATAGGAGTGTGTTTAATTAATTAATTCAAAGTACACAATATTATTTAATAATAACCCGTAATTTGTTTGCGTGGATATCCATCAATTTTCAAAATAATAAATTTACAGAAAACAAAGGATCTGAGTGACTAAGCAATTTGTACTAATTAATCCCATTTATCGATACTTAGCTTTTGTTAATTATTTACTTTTAGTTAGATTTATATTTTAATTCGATCTGAGATGACTTTGGTAAAATTAAATTTGATAAAAAAATATGTTTGTACCTTAAATAATTTAATCTATGGTTAGTGATCTTTTAAAGTATCAAGTAAATCACAATTTAAAATGGCTTGTATTTAATATTTATTGATATTAGTGAGGATCTTCTAATTTTTTAATACTATATTTGCCATAAAAAATATTTGAATTGCTAAAAATATATCATTAGTACACATTATCTTGAAAAATATACTCTATTTGTGAGATTTAACTATCTATAACTTTTAATTATGCTTCTCTTTCATAATTTACAACTTATTTGAAGTATTTTTACATTTTGCCTATCTTTATATTAAACTTTTAATCTTAGTCTTATTAAATTGAAACATTACTAAAGTAAAAAATGTGATAAATAAAATTAATTAAGTTAAGAAGATATTATAAGTTATAGCACTTGAAACTATTAATATTAGAGAATGTAGTTATAATTAATTTCTTATTAAAACCTTTACATTACTATGAAATATGGTTTAGTTACTTATTTCTTTCAAAATAATATGTAATTTAATCGAATGATTTTGGAACCTGGTTAATGATTTTAGTTACTTATTCCGAAAATAATAATTTGTATTTGATACAAATAAATATAAACATTTTTCTTATAATTTAAGATGGTGTAGAATCTTAAATTTTAAAACCAAGATTGACGTTAATTTTCAATTCGAAAATGGGTATGGAAAAAAACTTTAATTACATAGCATCTCTATAGTAAATATCTTAACTATGCATTAAGCATCCTTAAAATCGGTTTAAACCTTGTACTATAAAAACTGGTTTAGAATCGGTGATATAATAAATACAAAATATATTATTCATAGACACTACCTATCTACTGAATTTAGATTTTGTGCTATATTATTGGAATTATAGTTCTGTTTTATAACATAAAATATTTCACCTACCTGTATCATACAGATTAATGCCACTGCTATGAGTAAGCTTGACGACACTTTTAAGTACCACATTTTAAAATTATTGACATGTACAATATAGACACGAAGTGTACTAAATGTTAATAAAGTGTATTATATATTATATATAGATGGGCCGACGAGTAATTTTATTTTAGTTGTCGGTTCGAACAATTATCGGTTGTTATTATCTCTTAACATTTTTATGTTAGCCATTTTTGGCGCACAAGAGAAACAAAAGGTAAAAAAAAAAAAACAAAAATTAAATACTAACTACAGCAGTTGTTGTTTTTTGTTGCAATTCGTTGAATAATTAGCAACTTGTACAATCAAGCAGACAAGCCGACGATCGAGTCAAACAGAAAACTTTTACTCGTATTGATAAACCGAAAAAACAATAGAATAATGGCTGTTGTTGTTTTAATCTGTTTCAAGTACGTAACGTTAATATAAAAATATATACTTTAGAGAATGTGTATAATTTCTGGTTGTTATACTATTTAATTGAAAAAAAGCCTTTAATTTTGAAAATGAATCATGGTTTTATTACGTTTTAAATGACAAAATAGAGATAAAATCATATTACAACAAATTTTTATCGGGGGTGAGTTTTCATATAATATAATACATTTTGCTTCTGTACATTATTACATTATCATTTAAAAGTAAACTAGATTTTAATAACTGGTGAAATTTACAATAAATTGTTTTTATTATGTATAATATGATTAACGTAAATATATAATTTTAACGAAAATATTTATACCGATTTAACAGTAATTATTTCAAAGTAAGAACAGAATAGTTATAATAAAAAAAAATATATGTTTTTGTTATAATTATATTAAAAATAAATGTAAACTAATTTATCATGTAATTTTAAAACATTCGTATATATTTAACATTGTTGCAATTAAATCTTGAGTACAAATTTCTAGTCATATTTATAATTTGTAGATAGTACTCTTCCGATCTATACTTAATGTAAAAGGTGATACAAATACGTTAAAATTTGTTAAAAAAATGCCATATTTTTATTTAACGTTAGGCTCAATTATTAATTACTTTTCTGATACAATTGAATTATTGTCAACATAACATCTAATATTATGATAAGACATAAAACATGTTAATGGCACTTTATTAAACAGAATAATATAATTGTACAGTAACGTATTTCTTGCTGAAATATCTAATACATAAGTATACCTTGCGTATACTAACCAAGTCGTCAATACGACTATATTATATATATTTTTTATTTCAAATCCCTATAGTGATAAAAAAAATAAATAATTTGTATGCTTTTTAGGTAATTAGATAATATCTATAATAGTCATACTTATTATAAGATCATGTTATTTTTCAAGGGGGGAGGTGCTCCGTCTTGCTCCACCCAACGAGCGCTTATGTTTGCATGTCATTCATTCTTTAGCAATCTACAACAACGTTATATTTTCATTTCATGTTTAGATTTTTAGATATGAATAGGTACCTATTAGCTTTTTTATTTTTAAAATCCCTTTTCGATTATTTTGAAAACTAATAATTCGTTTTCAATGTCTACGGCCAATAAACGTTTTAATTCAAATGTCAATCGAGTTAATAAAGAAATTATTGGATCACGTACAATTGCAACAGTATGGTTATAGGTCATTGTGTCTGACAATATTAGATTTTTAGAAACATCGTAAATCTCAGTATTCAGACTTATAGTAATTCAGTCTTGTTTGTAATTCAGAGGTGTCCAATAAGTATAATATATATTGTGTCTCACTTTTGGAGAGAATGTCTACCAATAAAGATTTCGAAGTGATCTTACTCTGGATATTATACATTTATTATTTTATTCGAGTTTATCAATGCACTTGATCGATGGAAATATGTTCACGAGTTTAAATAATTTCAGAGCTCATATATAATAATATAATATTGATTATAATGTTTTGTTTTTGTTTTTTTTTTTATTATTATTATTTATCCTTGGCACAAAAATAGAGAAATGAGAATAATTTTGTCTAAATCTGATTTGATTTAATTTGGAAAATTTAAATTAAAAAAAAAAAAAATAATAACGTCACAATATTAAATAAAATCATATGTAGGTATTAATTTATTATAATATATTATGCTAAAAACATAAATATTGTATTAAATTTAATTAATTATTTTTATTACAGCACGTAAAAATTAATAAACATAATTAATATTTAGTCATGATTAAAATATTTTATGTATTTAGCATGATAATAAATTAAATATTAAAAAGAGGAAAATTAGGTAGTTAACTTATTAATGAGTATAGGCCACTGTAATGGATGTATTAAATTTAAATTCAATAATTCATTAGATACGAAAAACAATTCTGAGTGAATCCAAGTTGTTAGTCTATTATTATATGAAAATATAGCAATTAATCATAATTATTATTATAGTAGTATATTTAAAAAAAAAGTAATACGAGTAGGTATGCATACATTAAAAATAGGCAATAGCATAAAATTAATCTAAATATTTTAAAAAATGTCATTATTTAAACAAAATATAATACGAGTATTATACATAAAAGTTTCAAATTCCTACGAAAAGCAATTTTAAATGTTAATAATAATAAGCCAAGTTTCTATACAGTACCTATTAATACACTAATATAAATACTAAAACAAATACATATAGACAAATATTATATAATTACTTGATTAAATAATATTTTACTAATAACTAATTAATTTTTAATATTTATAAGATTAAATAGTTAAATTTATATTTATGCAAAGCAAAATTGTATGCTCATTACTCAACACTAATTCCTTAATAATTTAAATTTCAGTTAAAAAACAAAAACACGCATCTAATATAAATGGTATTTACAGGTACCTATATATATATTTATTTTAAAATGGACAATGATAGTATGATTGTTATTAACCGAGATCGATTCGTGCAAATCTGAAGTCAATATAATATTTGTATACGTTGATCATTCATCAAATTATTATTAAAACGTTTTAAAATATAATTTATTAATTAAGATAAATAATTATCAACGCTAGTCGTAACTGCTTTTATGATATAAAACATAAATTATTTATTATGAGTAATAATGTCTGAATTTCAGGCCTCATTAATACACTGAATATGATATATATGTATGATTAAGATTATTGACGTAGCTTACATAAATTTTAGCGCTTAACTGATAATATTATTATCGTAATATTAGTTACAATAACGGCGCTAAAATCTTCAAATCAATCTAAGTCAAGGAATATAGTATAATATAATTATTTATACCTATCTTTTATAGGTAACTAAAAAGGTTCGAATTATTATGGACGGTATTTTAAAAGTATAAAATATGTCAAGCTTTATATACCAAATCGTTTGTACTTTTAAAATGTTACTCTTCAAAGAAACAGTAGTTTTGTTGACAGAGTTTCGGACTTTTGGTTGTAATTGATTATTTGAGTATTATTTACTTTTTAAAATTAAAGTTGCAATGAAAAGTAATTTATTAAACCACGTGAAAACACATGTAAGAACCACCGATTTTATTTTTCGAGCAATTAGTTTTAACCAAGCGCTTGTTAAAAGTTGAAATGGTACAATAACAGTACACATTTTATTCTTCGGTTATGATTAATAATATTTTATTAGGTTGATTAAATTCTAAGGTTCCAATTACCTACAACGTTAGCTATGAAACTTCCATTCGTGTCTATTGACTCATCAATGAATACCCTATTTTTTTTAATAGTTACATATTTCTGATAATTTTCATTACGTATTTGTAGCAATCATTTATATGATATGTTTTGCCTAAGTTGGAATATCTTTACCCATGTACTTTTCCAAAAATTATTGAAAATGTATGTTATTAATTATATGCAACAGAATATTACTTAACATCAACGCTTTATACAGATTAAACTAAAAAATTTGAGTTTTTGTATTTGTAATAATTTGTTAAATTTTTGAATTTGTGCTATTAGTTTTCTTATTTTAGTGAATAAGAATACTTCCATCGGAAGAAAAAAATAGTATCGCCAATAAGTACAGACACATCATTTTTTAATAAGGTTGATTTACTTGGTTTGATTTTCAGAGTTTTAAAGAATCACTAAATCGATTACAAATTATAATAATATCAGTATCTACTTTTAAAATTAACTGATTGACAATTGTTGATAGTATATTGTATTGAAGGACAAGTTTTTATTTTAACAAAAAATGCGATAATCACGGCATAGAAATAAATAGCTTAATAAATATAATATACATTTATTCACTGCTATGTTGACTTAATTTATATTCTATATAATAACAATTTAAATCATCTTAAAATTACACAAAAATCATAAAAAATAGTTAAAATTACACTAAAAGAAAAAATTATTTTTTTAAATTTAAGTTTACAGTAAAATAAAACATATTTTAAGTTCACTTTTATTTGGCAATAAATATAAACATTTACAAAAAATGTGCAAATGCAACAACTTCACTGCCCTAATTTATTTTGATAGGTCAGCTTAGTAAGCCCCTAGACTTGCGCCTTAGTGGGGCTAAGATCAAAATGACTCCCGAAGCCAAGTATCTCGGGGTCATGTTTGATCCGAATATAAATTTAGTTCCCATTTGGCGGAAAAAGTTGCATTCTCGGTAGCGCTATTCAGCCTTAAAGAGAGAATGACTAGAATCCTGTAAAAATCAGTGTTCCTGCCGCGTATGGGTTACGCAGTCTCTGTTAGGGTCAAACGCTGCATGTCGCAATACCGACATCGAACACGGGCTAATACCGCCAAAGACGCCCATTACTGGCAATAATAGGCGTTATATAAAGCTCAACGCGTTATAATATATTTTTTTATATTTACAGGCTGAAAACCTACCACTGAAATTTTAATGTTAAAATTCAGTTCCTAAAATAAATTATATCATAGATTTGACCACCTGCCTAAAATTTTGTAGAAATGACATACCCATTCCTGCGTGCTACAAGAAATTTTATTAATAATTCTTTGAAATCGAAAATATTGTTCTCTAAAAAGAGCACCACTTTATTGTAATCGATAAGCTAATATAGCTT